GCTAATTTTTTGTTATTTTTAGTAGAGATGGGGTTTCGCCATATTGGCCTGGGCTGGTCTCGAAACTCTTGCTTTCATGATCCATGCTGCTCGGCCTCCCGAAGCTGCTGGGTATTTACATGGCGTGAGGCACGTTGGCCCAGCCATAGGATTGACTTTTCAGTCACCTCTTTCTGAGGTTTTATTACATACCATTACAATTTTCTCCACTAAAGTCTGCAATTCACTGCTTTAATATTTCAGAAAGTTGTACAAGCATCACTGCATCAAGTGTTAGGACTTTTTTTTTTAGACAGAGTCTCGCTGTGTCTCCCAGGGCTGGAGTACAGTGACGCGATCTCGGCTCACTGCAAGCTCCACCTTCCTGGGTCAGCCATTGTCCTGCCTCAGCCTCCGGAGTAGCTGGGACTACAGGCGTCCGCCACCACGCCCAACTAATTTTTTGTATTTTTAGAGAGATGGGGTTTCAACCGTGTTAGCCAGGATGGTCTCGATCTCCTGACCTGGTGATCTGCCCGCCTCAGCCTCCCAAGGTGCTGGGATTACAGGCATGAGCCATCTCGCCCAGCCAATTTTAAGACATTTTTATCACCCTAGAAAGGAACCCCAGACCCCTCAGCCATCACTCCCAATCTCTCGGTCCCTCCCAACCCTAAGCATCTATCCGTCAGCTTTCTGTGTCCATAGATTGGCCCATTCTGGACACTTCATGTCAGTTGAATCGTGTGACACTGGATCTTTGTGACTGGCTGCGTGTAACGTGTATGAGAACATCATTTCTTTTTAATTTGCTGAGTAATATCCCACTGTTTGAATAGACCACATTTTGGGTTGTGTCACCTCACACAGAGGACTCTCTTCCCTGAAGGCCAGCCCCAGGCTGGGGCAGGTGTGTGTGAGGGAGATTGTGACTGGTGGAATGACCAAGCTGGTCCCACCTGCACGGTGGCTTCAGAGGAGGGTGATGTCAGTAGAGCTGGGGGCAGCCCGAAGGCGGCCGAGGTGAGAAGGAAGTGGCGCGCTGCACATTTGGGTGGCTGAGGGAGGGAGGAGTTTCTGTCAGATCTCCTGTGTCCTAAAGAAAATAACCTAAGTACCTTGACAAGCTCAGTGGAAGTAAAAGAGCAGAGGTACAATAGCTCTGGAGACAGGGAAGCAAAACAGGGAGGGGTGCATCGGGGAGCTGGTAGAGACGCTTCTAAAGCCAGAGGGAGGACGGATGCTCCCTTTCCCTGGACAGGGAAGAGGATGAGAAGAGCTTATAAAGGCATCCATCCTGTGCTTGGGAGGCTGAGCTGGGAGGATCGCTTGAGCCCAGGAGTTCAAGACCAACCTGGAAACATAGCAAGACCTTGTTGCTACCAAAATTTTTTTTTAATTTAAATTAAAAAACCAGGCTGGGCAACATGAGAAAACCCCATCTCTACAAAGAGTACAAAAATTAGCCAGGCATGGTAGTGTGCGCCTGTAGTCCCAGCTACTCTGGATGCGGAGGTGGGAAGATGGCTTGAACCTGGGAGGCAGAGGCTGCAGTGATCGCGCCACCACACTCCAGTTTGGGCCATAGTGAAATCCTTCCACTAAAATAAAAAGCAAAAGATGTCCATTCTGGCCGGGCACGGTGGCTCACACCTGTAATCCCAGCACTTTGGGAGGCCAAGGTGGGCAGATCATGAGGTCAGAAGTTCGAGACTAGACTGGCCAATATGGGGAAACCCCATCTCTACTAAAAAATACAAAAATTAGCTGGACGTGGTGGCACGCGTCTGTAGTCCCAGCTACTCAGGAGGCTGAGGCAGGAGAATCACTTGAACCCAGGAGGCAGAGGTTGCAGTGAACTGAGATCGTGCCACTGCACTCCCGCCTGGGCGACTGGGCGACAGAGTTCAAAAAAAAAAAATCCATCCTAAATGGGTAAATTTTGAATCAGATAAAAATCATATGATTCTGAATCATAGAGGGATAACTTTAGTTACTAGAAAATCTACCTTGTATGGAGAACCTTGTTCCCTGATAATGTTAGGGAAATGGGGTGTTTTGCGTATAGTTTGTTACAGATGGCTCGTGTGTGTGTGGTAAAATATACATGACGTAAAATTTACCATATTGGTCATTCATGTAAATTGCATCCTGCAACCCTTGGTCTTTGTGAGCAGCTGCTCTCACTGAGCTCGATGTTGAAGTGTTCAGGTCAGTGGTGTACATTCATTGTGCAGCCGTCACCACTGTTCGTCTCCAGAACCTTTTCATCTTCCCCAACTGCTGCTTTGTCCTCGTGAAACATTCACTCCTCATTCCCCGGCCCCTGGCACCCCCATTCTATTTTCTGTCCCCATGAGTTTGACCGCGATGGGGACCTCATACAAGTGGAATCGGACAGTGTTTGTCCCCTTGTGGCTGGCATGTCATATGTTGCAGTTTTTTTTTTTTTAATGGTGAAAAGATATACATATATTTAGAATTAGCTGGCTAGACTCAGTTTAGATGATCTCAGTTTTGTTGGCAACACCCAAAGCAACGTAATCAGGAGCCAGTTGAACACATGCCTTCTCTCCATCAGGCCGAATCGGGGTGTTGACTGTGGCCACATCCATATCCCAGAGCTGCTTCCCAGCCTGTGTGATCTGGCACTTGTGAACTTGAACATCCACAGTGAACACAGTGTGCTGTTGTCTTCTGTTTTCTTCATGGTGGACTCAGTGGTCAGTGGGAAATTGATGATCGCAGCGTGGTCAAGCTTGTTTCTCCCGGGCGCTCTTCCGAGGGTATCTGGGCTGCCTCTGGAGTCGCAGTGTCTTGGGCTGCCAGAAGGTGGGTGATCTTTTTTTTGGTGGCTGTGGACACCTTTCAACCCTGCCTTCTTGGTCTCTAAAGCCTTCGCTTTGACTTTGGGTTTACGAGGGACAGAGCTTCCTTCTTTGCTTTCGGCGCCATCTTGTGAAAAGGCTGCTTTATTTTTATTTTTATTTTTGAGATGGAGTCTCGCTCTGTTGCCCAGCCTGGAGTGCAGGGGTGTGATCTCTGCTCACTGCAACCTCCGCCTTCTGGTTCAAGCGATTCTCCTGCCTCAGCCTCTCGAGTAGCTGGGATTAGAGGTGCCTGCCACCACGCCTGGCTCTTTTTTTTTTTTTTTTTTTTTTTTTTTTTTGAGAGGGAGTCTCGCTCTGTCGCCCAGGCTGGAGTGCAGTGGCTGGATCTCAGCTCACTGCAAGCTCCGCCTCCCGGGTTCACGCCATTCTCCTGCCTCAGCCTCCCGAGTAGCTGGGACTACAGGCGCCTGCCACCTCGCCCGGCTAGTTTTTTTTTTTGTATTTTTAAGTAGAGACGGAGTTTCACCGTGTTAGCCAGGATGGTCTCGATCTCCTGACCTCGTGATCCGCCCGTCTCGGCCTCCCAAAGTGCTGGGATTACAGGCTTGAGCCACCGCGCCCGGCCTCATTTTTGTTTTTTTAGTAGAGACGGGCTTCTCTATGTTGGCCAGGCTGGTCTCGAACTTCTGACCTCAGTTGATCTGCCCGCCTCGGTCTCCCAAAGTGCTGGGATTACAGGGGCAAGCCACCACGCCTGGCCAGTGGAGATGTTTTAAAATGCATAATTCTCCTTTGCTGTCCCTTCTACTTCATATTTTTGTTTCCTTCATTACTAGCCCTTTATATGCACCCATCTGGGGGATGTGGCATTTGTGTAGCGTAGCATGGCATTCGAGCTCACAAATGGTTTTATGTCAGATATTTCATAACCGTTTGTATTATTCCATCTATCAAAAAGCCAGAATTGGCCGGGTGTAGTGGCTCACATCTGTAACCCCTGCACTTTGGGAGGCTGAGGCGGGTGGATCACTTGAGGTCATGAGTTTGAGACTAGCGTGGCCAACATGGTGAAACCCCATATCTACCAAAAAATACAAAAGTTAGCTAGGCATGTTGGCAGGCAACTGTAATCACAGCTACTTGGGAGTCTGAGGCAGCAGAATAGCTTGAAACCCAGGAGGTGGAGGTTGCAGTGAGCTGAGATGGTGCCACTGCACTTAGCCTGGGCAACAGAGCGAGACCCTGTCTCAAAAAAGTAAAAAGCCAGAACCCACTAGAGTCACTTGCCAAGGGTATCCGCTATTGTTGTGTAGCATACGACGCATGATCTTACTGGCTTAAAATAATAGGAGTTCCCCGGTGATCAGGTTCTGTGGGGTCCCTCGGTTCCTTTATGTCTGCAGGCAGTTAATAGACTGCTGGGCTGGAGGGTACAAGGTGGTCTCCCCGAATGTGGTGGTGCCCTGCACGTGGCCTCTCCTACAGCTGCCTTCCCTGCAGACTCAGGGCCCTGGCCCGTGAAATGTGGGAATGTGTACCCTGCGCTCCTGCCACACTGTTGGTCAGGCAAGCCGCCCCAGGCCAGTCAAGGTTCAGGCAGGTGGAGACAAAGCCCGGTTGCCAAGGGGCCTGTGGACTTTAATGGGCGGAGTGGTGCTGGGTCAGGATCTACTACCCAAGAGCTTAAAAGGGCAAGAGTGGGAAGGGGTCTTCAACCTTCCACAAGCCGATGGCCAGGGCCTTTTCTTGTATTGGAACTTTTTCCAGATCTGTTGAAGCACATGGGTCTTGGAAGCCCTATAAACAGAAGTGGGAAGTGTTCGCCCGAGGGATTGGCCCTCCTGGTACCTGTGATTTCCTGGGGACGGAGCCTTAATGGAGTTAAGGAGCCACTCCCCTCTATGTTGTCCCTGGAACCGACCAGGCCTTCCAGAGCGGAATGTGGGGCCCCAGGCCAGGGAACTTTGGAGCAAAGTGGGAGACCCGTGGGAATTGGAACTGTAACGTGTGAGGTGGGGGTGAGGACGCTAAAAATGTCAGGGGACTGCAGTCTCAATTCGAGGCTGAGGTGGGAAAGACCCCACCATCTGCCCACACTCGGTTGCCCCAAAGAGCCCACCCCACACCATGACTGCCACTGACTGCCCCCAGGCCCCCACCCCAGCCCTGCCCGGTTCCTCATTATCTGCCCGTTCTGCCTCTCCAGGCACCCATGGTGACTTAGGGGTTCAGTTAGAGCCTCTGCAGAAAATCTAATTATGCTCATTCAAACAATAGAACAATTCTGCCCATGGTTTCCAGAACAAATTTAGATCTAAAAGATTGGGAAAAAATTGGCAAAGAATTAAAACAAGCAAATAGGAAAGGTAAAATAGCCCCACTTACAGTATGGAATGATTGGGCCGTTATTAAAGCAGCTTTAGAACTGCTTCAAAGAGGAGAAGACAGCATTTCAGTTTCTGATGCGCCTGAAAGCTGTGTAATAGATTGTGAAGAAGAGGCAGGGACAGAATTCGAGAAAGGAATGGAAAGTTCACATTGTAAATATGCAGCAGAGTCTGTAATGGCTCGTCAACGCAAAATGTTGACTTAAACAAGTGAGGGTGATTTGCCTCAGGGCCTGGGAAAAAATTCATGGAACCAGGAACCACCTGCCCGTCTTTTAATTCAATTAGACAAGGCTCTAAAGAGCCCTACCCTGGCAAGATTGCAAGATACCGCTCAAAAATCTACTACAGATGATAACGCCAAAAAGGCCATTGTAGAATTAATGGCCTATGAAGATACAAATCCGGAATGTCAATTGACTATAAAGCCATGCTGACTACAATCAATTACAGGAGGTAATATATCCTGAATCATCAAAATTGGGGGGAAAGCTCCAGAATCACTGGGGCCATCAGAGTCTAAACCACGATGGCCAACTCTTCCTCCCGCGGTTCAGATGCCTGTAACATTACAACCTCAAATGCAGGTTAGACAAGTACAAACCCCAAGAGAAAATCAAGTAGAAAAGGATAGAGTCTCTGTCTCAGCAAAGCCAGTCCAGACACGGTATCCACAGTATCAGCCAGTAGAAAATAAAACCCAACCATGGCTAGCTTATGAATACTGGCAGCCAGCCGAGCCTCAGTTTTGGCCGCCTCCAGAGGTTCAATACAGACCTCAAGCGGTGTGTCCCACGCCAAATAGCACGGCATCATCCAAGCAACCCACGACAGTGGTGGTTTATCCATCAGCACCACAGGGCGCGGCGCTGTATCCTCAGCCGCCCACTATGAGACTTAATCCACCAGCACCACCTAGTGGACACGGTAGCACACTGCATGCGGTCTTTGATGAAGTTAGAAAACGGAGGTCTTGAGGCATGGCAGTTCCTGGTAGTTTCACAATCGGTACTGGCCGGGGAAGGGGCTCCAGCAGGAGCACCTGCGGTGGCTAATGCTAGATATGAACCTTTCACCATGAAAATGTTAAAAGACATGAAGGAAGGAGTTAAACAATATGGACCCAACTCCCTTTATATGAGAGATTAGATTCCAGTGCTCAGCAGGAGTTGATGTAATTACAGAGTAAGTGAAGGCTTGTAATAGGACTGGAGGAGCCATGCATAAGGCTATGCTAATGGCTCAAGCAATGACTGGAGTCACTTTAGGAGGACAAGTTAGAACATTTAGGGGAAAATGTTATAATTGTGGCCAAATTGGTCATCTAAAAAAGAATTGCCCAGCTAGCTCAGTAGAGTATGCGACTCTTAATCTCAGGGTCGTGGGTTCGTGCCCCACATTGGGTGCCAGGTGAAGGAGGCCTGCCCCTCCACACCTGTGGGTATTTCTCATCAGGTGGAGATGAGAGACTGAGAAAAGAAATAAGACACAGAGACAAAGTATAGAGAAAGAGCAATGGGCCCAGGAGATGGGCACTCAACGTGCGAGGACCCACACTGGCGCTGGTCTCCGAGTTCCCTCAGTATTTATGGATCACTATTTTTACTATCTTGGCGAGGGGAGTGTGGCAGGGCAACAGCATGATGGTGGGGAGAAGGTCAGCAGGGAAACGTGAGCAAAGGAATCTGTATCATGAATAAGTTCAAGGAAAGGTACTGTGTCTGGATGTGCACGTAGGCCAGATTTATGTTTCGCTTTACACGAACATCCCAGTGTAGCAAAGAGTAACAGCAGTATTACGGCCAGTGTATCTTGCTTCCAGCCACTGGGCGATTTTCTCCTATATCAGAATAGAATGAATGGTCGGCTTTACACCGAGACATTCCATTCCCAGGGATGAGCAGGAGACAGAAACGTTCCTTTTATCTCAACTGCAAAGAAGTCTCCCTCTCACTATTCCTCCTCAGCACAGACCCTTCACAGGTGTTGGGCTGGGGGAATGTAAGGTCTTTCCTTTCCCACGAGGCCACATCTCAGGCTGTCTCAGTGCGGGGAAACCTTGGACAATACCTAGGCTTTCTTGGGCAGAGGTCCCTGCGGCTTTCCACAAAGCATTGTGTCCCTGGTTAATTGAGAATGGAGAATGGTGATGACTTTTAGCAGGCACACTGCCTGCAAACATATTGTTAACAAGGCACATCCTGCACAGCCCTGAATCCCTTAAACCTTGATTCAGTACACCACATGTTTCTGTGAGCACAGGGCTGGGGTTAAAGTTACAGATTAATGGCATCTAAAAGCAGAACAATTTTTCTTAGTACAGATCAAAATGGAGTTTCTTATGTCTTCCTTTTCTACATAGACACAGTAACAATCTGATCCCTCTTTTCCCCACACAAAAAGCCCCACCCCACACTGTGACTGCCACTGACTGCCCCCAGGACGCCCCCCTCAGCCCTGCCCGGTTCCCCATTATCTGCCCTTTCTGCCTCTCCAGACTGGAACCCGTGGTGACCTGGGGATTCTCCAGACACAACCGCAGCCCCGTCCCCGACCAGCCGAGGCAGCAACAGCAACAGCTCGGGCACAAGGTGGCTGCCACATTGGGGCCCTGGTATCTCCCGAAGCAGGGGTGGCCTGGGGCCTCCAGGACAGTATAGGGACTGGGTCTGCCTGAGCCCAGAAAGGGCTTTCTGCCTCCCAGGCCAAGGTGCAGCACTGTCCTCTGGAAGGGCTCTGTGTGCGAGGCCCACGCTCCGGAGACAGGTGCCCGGTGTCCTGGTGAAGCGCGTGGTTTCCGAAAAGGTCCTAGCAAGTCCTTGGGCATCTGAGCAGAAACGGGTCTCAGGTTTCCGCCTCCCACAGTTGTCTGTGCCTCACTGTCCTCATCTATAACTGGGTCAGTAAGAATATCCTGGGCCGGGTGTGGTGGCTCAAGCCTGTAATCCCAGCACTTTGGGAGGTTGAGGTGGGCAGATCACGAGGTCAGGAGATCGAGACCATGCTGGCTAATGCGGTGAAACCCCGTCTCTACTAAAAATACAAAAAAATTAGCCGGGCAAGGTGGCGGGCGCCTGTAGTCCCAGCTACTTGGGAGGCTGAGGCAGGAGAATGGCGTGAACCCGGGAGGCGGAGCTTGCAGTGAGCTGAGATCCAGCCACTGCACTCCAGCCTGGGCGACAGAGAGAGACTCCGTCTAAAAAAAAAAAAAAAAAGAATGTCCTGCCGTCATAATGTAGGGGCTGGAGGGGGTACTGGAAATGCAGGTGGAAACCCTTTGACTGCTCAGCACGTGGGAGGCCCATCGGTAGTGGCTGGGCTCTTAGTCCATTAGTCACTCTGATGGCCCCTTGTGGAGAGTGTTTACTGTGCACATTTTCCAGATGGGGTTAGATGGGGGTGATATATCCAAGGCTGCCAGGAGAGGAACTGGCAGAACAGAAGCCTAGTTCCATCAGGGCCCCCGCCAGCCTTGGCTCCAGCGAGCAGTGAGGCAGCCCCATCTGCCCACCTCCCTCCCAGAGCCGCGTCTAGAGCCCCCCAAGGGCTTCCTCCACTGACGGGATTTTGCTTCCTTCCTTAGGACGGAACCGCTGAACTCCAGGTTGCTTGCCTGGGAGTAGGAGAAATCCACCTGCTGGGGGCTGAGCGTGGCCTGAGGGACAGGCCCTGGGTCCAGGGATGCCCCTGCCCGAGCCCAGCGAGCAGGAGGGCGAGAGTGTGAAGGCTGGCCAGGAGCCGTGCCCCGAGCCAGGCACAGAAGTCGTCCCGGCAGCCCCCAGGAAGCCCAGAAAGTTCTCCAAACTGGTCCTGCTCACAGCCTCCAACCAAGATGAGGATGGGGTGGGCTCCAAGCCCCAGGAAGTGCACTGCGTCCTTTCCCTGGAGATGGCTGGCCCTGCCACCCTCGCCAGCACCTTGCAGATCCTGCCAGTCGAGGAGCAGGGAAGGGTGGTCCAGCCAGCCCTGCAGATGCCTGAACAGAAGTGCAGCAAGCTGGACACAGGTGAGGTGTGGCCTGCTGCCCCTGCCCAGCCACCCTGTGGGTTCCAGTGCTCACAGCAGGCCCTGCACACCCCACTTCTAGCACAGTGTCTTGTCCTTGTTCCCAGCTGAGCCTCCTGGTCTCTGATCCTGAGCCTGTCCCAGGCTGGTGTGAAGATCACACTCAGGTACCAGGGCCTCCTGGAGCTCATGGGAGTTGCAGTGATGTGCAGAATTCCTTCAGCTCCCTAAAAACATCCACTACCACCCCCAAAATAAAAACCAGCCCTGAGAGTCGGGGCTTCTTGCTTGGGAGCAGGAGAAGGCACCTGCCACACTCAGAACCCCCACGTCCTCCCTGGTTCTCCTCTGTGCCTGCGACCTGGAGCTTGGCTTTAGGTTAGCTAACCCAGCCCTCCCCTTCCCCCAGCAGCCCCTCAGTCCCTGGAGTTCCTGAGGACACCATTCGGGGGCCGCCTCCTGGTGCTGGAGTCCTTCCTTTACAAGCAGGAGAAGGCTGTGGGGGACAAGGTGTACTGGAAGTGCCGCCAGCATGCTGAGCTGGGCTGCCGGGGCCGGGCCATCACCCGAGGCCTGCGGGCCACAGTGATGCGGGGCCACTGCCATGTGCCCGATGAGCAAGGCCTGGAGGCCCGGCGCCAGAGAGAGAAGCTGCCCAGCCTGGCTCTGCTAGAGGGCTTGGGAGAGCCCCAGGGTCCTGAGGGCCCTGGAGGCCTAGTGGAGGAGCCACTGGAGGGGGTGGGCCCTTGGCAGTGCCCTGAGGAGCCAGAGCCAGAGCCAGAGCCCACTCCTGGGCTGGTGCTGAGCAAGCCAGCCCCGGAGGAGGATGAGGGACCCCGAGCCCTGTCACTGCTGAGCCTGCCGCCCAAGAAACGTTCGATCCTGGGGCTGGGTGAGTACAGTCCACCCCCCTGCCATGTCCACTTGGGGCAGGGGACCCAAGGGCCCTTCCTGAGCCCAAATAGAAATGTGGGGTCCCACGGGGTCTTTTAAAATGTACTCGAAGCTAAAATGACTTTTAAAAATATAAATGTGGCCGGGCGCAGTGGCTCATGCCTGTAATCCCAGCACTTTGGGAGGCCAAGGCGGACGGATCATGAGGTCAGGAGTTCGAGACCAGCCTGATCAACATGGTGAAACCCCGTCTCTACTAAAAATACAAAACTTAGCAGGGTGTGGTGGTGGATGCCTGTAATCCCAGCTACTCAGGAGGCTGAGGCAGGAGACTTACTTGAACCCAGGAGGCAGAGGTTGCGGTGAGCCCAGATCGCTCCACTGCATTCCGGCCTGGGTGACAGAGTGAGACTTCATCCTTAAAAAAAAAAAAAAAAAAAATTATGTATGTATATAAAAATGTGACTGGGCGCATTGGCTCATGCCTGTAATCTCAGCACTTTGGGAGGCCCAGGCAGGTGGATCACCTGAGGTCAGGAATTCGAGACCAGGCTGACCAACATAGTCCAACATGACCACCTCTACTAAAAATAAAAAATTAGCCAGGCGTGGTGGCAGATGCCTGTAATCCCAGCTATTCGGGATGCTGAGGCAAGAGAATCGGTTGGACCCAGGAGGCAGAGGTTGCAGTGAGCCAAGATTGTGCCACTGCACTCCAGACTGGGCAACAGAGCAAGACTCTGTCTCAGAAAAAAAAAAGAAAAAATAGATATATGTAAATGTGGGCTGGGCACAGTGGTCATGCCTATAATCCTAGCACTTTGGAAGGCTGGGGGCAGGAGGAGCGCTTGAGCCCAGGAGTTCAAGACCAGCCTGGCCAATACAGTGAGACCGCATATGTACAAAAAATCAGCCAGCTGTCGTGGTGCGCCTGTGGTCCCAGCCACTTGTGAGACTGAGGTGGGAGGATCACTTAAGCCAGGGAGATTGAGGCTGCAGTGAGCCAGAATCACACCACTGCCCTCCAGCCTGGACAAGAGAGTGAGACCCTGTCTCAAAAACAAATCAGAATTTTATCTGGTTCTCGGGCGATTCTGGTGTCCATTAAGTTCAGGAAAAACACCTAGGCCGGGTGCAGTGGCTCACGCCTCTAATCCCAGCACTTTGGGAGGCTGAGACGGATGAATCATGAGGTCAAGAGATCAAGACCAGCCTGGCCAACATATTGAAACCCCGTCTCTACTAAACATACAAAAAATTAGCTGGGTGAGGCTGGGCGCAGTGGCTCACGCCTATAATCCCAGCACTTTGGGAGGCTGAGGTGGGCATATCACGAGGTCAGGAGATTGAGACCATCCTGGCTAACACGGTGAAACTCCGTCCCTACTAAAAATACAAAAAACTAGCCGGGCGTGGTGGTGGGCGCCTGTAGTCCCAGCTACTCGGGAGGCTGAGACAGGAGAATGGCATGAACCTGGGAGGCAGAGCTTGCAGTGAGCCGAGATCGTGCCACTGCACTCCAGCCTGGGGGACAGAGTGAGACTCCATCTCAAAAAAAAAGAAAAAAAGAAATTAACTGGGCATGGTGGCGGGCACCTGTAATCCCAGTTAGTCGGGAGGCCAAGGCAGACGAATCGCTTGAACCCGGGAGGCAGAGGTTACAGTGAGCCAAGATCACGTCATTGTACTCCAGCCTAGGTGGTGGGGCGAGACTCTGTCTCAAAAAAAAAAAAAAGTCTGGTGGGAGAGTCTTGGGTTTTGGGTCATAGGTTCAAATTCCAGCCCCACCTGATGGTAGCTCTGTAGCCTTAGAAAATTGACCTCATTTCTGGAGTTTCAGGAGTTTTATCTTAAGCTGGTTGTGATAACCTAGATTGCTGTGTAAATTGCACATTTGGGGCTTAGCAAGTTGCAAATGGGAGTTCTGGCTGTTTTATTACCAGTAACTAGGAGATGGGCTTGGGTTCAAGGAGGCCAGGTGCCTCCTGACACAGCTTTAAGGATCTGAGGTGGCCCCTGCCCTGGGCACCTGGGGCGGGAAGGGAAGGGCAGGGAACAGGGAGACTTATTTTTCACTGTGATCTTTTGGAACCATTTGAGTGTATTATAACTTGTGTGTTTTATTCAAAAATGGGTAGATTATTTAAACAAACCCTTAAAAAAAATGCATGAGCAGGAGTGACAGACAGCAGAGGCCACTGAGTCCGAGTCCAGGTTGGCCCCTCCAGGTGTGATCTTGATGCAACATTTAACAGGCCTGAGCTGGGACGGCCTCCCTGGCTGCTAGGAGAGGAATGAGACTCCCCTCCGGGTTGCTTGGTGTAGGGGTTCCATGGGAATGGGCTTGGGGGCTCTGGCATATCTGGCTCAGGAAGCCAGGGTAAATTTCAGCCTTAAAGGAGAAAGGCCCATGTCAGCCCCCAGAGTCTGCAGTGGCTGCCACTCCTGGGCTTCTCCCCACCCCTGGTGGCTGTGACCACTTGGGTCCCTCCTCCAGGACAGGCCCAGCCCCTCGAGTTCCTGAGGACGTGCTACGGGGGCAGCTTCCTGGTACATGAGTCGTTCCTCTACAAGCGAGAGAAGGCTGTCGCGGACAAGGTGTATTGGTCCTGCCGGGACCATGCACTGCACAGCTGCCGGAGCCGGGCCATCACCCAGGGACAGCGGGTGACCGTGATGCGTGGCCACTGCCACCCTCCCGATATGGAGGGCCTGGAAGCCCGGCGGCAGCAGGAGAAGGCCACGGAGACACTGCAGGCTGGGCAGGACGGCCCTGGGAGCCAAGCGGACACGCTGCTCCGAGGTGTGGATAGTCTGCTGTACCCCAGGGGTCCTGGTCCCCTGACTCTCACCACGCCCCGGCCCAGAAAGCGAGCGAAGGTCGAAGACCAGGAGCTGCCAACCCAGCCGCAAGCCCCGGAAGGATCCCCGGACGAGGACCAGGACGTGGCTGCAGACCCTGGTGAGCCGCCTGCCTCTGGGGCTCGCTGGCCCCGCCTTGACTCTTTGGCCATCAGAGGCCCAGGGAGGGAAGGGAGTGGGATCAGGCCTGCCCAGCCCCTGCCTCCTCTCTTAACTGCCTCCCGAACCTCCCCAGGAGGCCCTGAGTTCCTGAAGACGCCCCTGGGGGGCAGCTTCCTCGTGTACGAGTCCTTCCTCTACCGGCGGGAGAAGGCAGCCGGGGAGAAGGTGTATTGGACCTGCCGAGACCAGGCCCGCATGGGCTGCCGCAGCCGCGCCATCACCCAGGGCCGACGGGTGACTGTGATGCGTGGCCACTGCCACCCACCCGACCTGGGGGGCCTGGAGGCCCTGAGGCAGCGGGAGAAACGCCCCAACATGGCGCAGCGGGGGAGCCCAGGTACCTGGGATTGGGCGGGGAGCTGGGCCGCAGAAAGCAGGCAGGAGCCCCACACTGCCTTTCCCTCTCCACCCTGCGGGTCCCGCTGGCAAACGTCCTCTTCCCTTCTGTGAACGTCCTAGAAGGAGCCATGGCCCTGTTCTCCTCCTCTTCCCCCTCGTGCTGCTTTCAATGGGCGCTACCTTCCTGCTCAGCCTGGCCTCACCCGTCCAGCCCGACCTGCCCCACAGGGGCAGCAGCAGGGATAGACCTCCCTGCCCTCCTCCTCCTCCTCTTCCTCCATTTGTCTTAAGAGTTCATAGTATTAATAGAGGACGTTGACTGCACATGGTCAGTCTCGTTGCTATGGTGTGAGCTTGTCTAAAGGTCTGAGCGGTTAAGGATTGAGGAGGTGATATAGCCGGGCGCGGTGGCTCAAGCCTGTAATCCCAGCACTTTGGGAGGCCGAGACGGGCGGATCACGAGGTCAGGAGATCGAGACCATCCTTGCTAACACGGTGAAACCCCGTCTCTACTAAAAAATACAAAAAACTAGCCGGGCGAGGTGGCGGGCGCCTGTAGTCCCAGCTACTCGGGAGGCTGAGGCCAGAGAATGGCGTGAACCCGGGAGGCGGAGCTTGCAGTGAGCTGAGATCCGGCCACTGCACTCCAGCCTGGGCGACAGCGCGAGACTCCGTCTCAAAAAAAAAAAAAGGATTGAGGAGGTGATATTTACATGCAATCAGTTTCTCCTCTCAGCCAGTGGTTCCATAGACACCCATAATGTCCTGAAACGCTGGCCTGAGGAGGGTCACGGCTGTCTCTATCTTTATCCACACGGTTGGCCCCCCCGCAGCACCTGGTGTTTTGACTTCATGACCACAGTGGTGTACATGTCCCCATCCCGTCTGGCTGAGGAGCCATTTCAGCGCGGCCTCCTCCACTCACCTGCTCTTCATGGCCCTGAGGCGCTGGCCTGTCTTTCCAGTGGCTCTTCTCCATCCTGCAGCTTTGGGTCAGCTGAGTTGCCTAATGGCCCTAAAGTTCTCTCAGACTTGAGAGCTGTTTTTTTTTGTTCCATCTCC